GCCAACCACATAATTCTGGGAATCATGGCCCAGCCAAATGGATACACACATTTTTTGGGGGACATAATTCAAACCATGACAGCTAGTGATCGCGAACATTTCCTCACGTGTCTGTTGGCTGCTCAAATGTCTTCTTTGGTGAAGTGTCTGTTCATTTCCTTTGCCGATTTTTTAATTGGATTATTTGTCTTTCGTTGTAGAAGTGTCGGATTTTCTTGTAGATTTTACAGATTAGACCCTTGTCTGACTTGTAATGTCCAAAATTTTTTTCCAGTCTGTGGGTTCTCTTTTTACTCTTTTGGTGAAGTCTTTTGATGAGCATAAGTGTTTGATTTTTAGAAGATCCCAGTTATCTAGCTTATCTTCTGGCGTTTGTGTGTTCTTGGTTATGGTTTGTATCCTGTTAATGCCGTGTATTAGGGCTTGTAGCATTGATCTTATTTTTTCTTCTATGAACTTTATAGTTTTGGGCTCTATATTAAGGTCTTTGATCCATTTTGAATTAGCTTTTGTATATGGTGTGAAGCATGGGCCCTGTTTCATTTTTTTGCAGATGGACATCCAGTTTTGCCAGCACAATTTCTTAAAAAGACTGTCTGTTCCCCATTTGATGGACTTTGGGCCCTTGTTGAAGATCAGGTGACGGTAGGTGGATGGATTTACATCTGGGTTCTCAATTCTGTTCCATTGGTCAATGTATCTGTCGTCGTACCAGTACCAGGCGGTTTTGACTACTGTAGCTGTACAGTAGGTTCTGAGGTCAGGTAGTGTGAGTCCTCCTACTTTATACTTCCTCAATAGTGCTTTACTTATCCGCGGCTTCTTCCCTTTCCATATAAGCTTAATGATTAGTTTTTCCATCTCTTTAAAGAATGTTGTTGGTATATGGATTGGGATTGCATTGTATTTGTAAATTGCTTTGGGTAGAATTGCCATTTTCACAATGTTGTGTCCACCTATCCATGAGCATGGTATGTTTTTCCATTTATGTAGATCTCTTTCGGTTTCTTGCGGTAGTGTTTTGTAGTTTTCTTTGTATAGGTCTTTTACATCCCTGGTTAGATTTATTCCTAAATATTTTATTTTTTTAGAGGCTATTATAAATGGTATTGTTTCCCTGATTTCATCATTCTCTTTATTGGTGTATAGGAATCCAACTGATTTTTGTATGTTTATCTTGTACCCTGCTACTCTGCCGAATCTTTCTATTAGTTCCAGTAGTTTTCTCGTGGAGTCTTTTGGGCTTTCTACGTATAGTATCACATCATCTGCAAATAGAGACAGTTTATCTTCTTCATCACCAATGTGAATGCACTTTATTTCTTTTTCTCGCTTTATTGCTCTAGCTAGGACTTCCAGCACAATGTTAAATAGGACTGGTGATAAAGGGCATCCTTGTCTTTTTCCCGTTCTCAAGGGGAGTGTTTTCAGCCTCTCTCCATTAAGAATGATGTTGGCTGTAGGTTTTGCATAGATGCCCTTTATTATGTTGAGAAATTTCCCTTCTATACCTATTTTATTGAG